AAATTGAGAGATATCATTCTGTTTTATTTACACAGTAAAATGCATCCATATCCCAAAAAAACCAGATATATAGACATAGACATTGTCCTCAAGTCATCTATTTGCTGATGAAATCATGAACTCCCTGTCATGGAAAACTGGACATTCAGAGTATGTGACCTGAGCTTGATACACAGCAGCCCCACGAGATTGCCTTTCTACGTTCTATGTTTGCAATTCTCCTCAATTACACAGCAACAGTCTCCCTCCCTGTCCCCAACCCCCACAGCCATCTCTGGTCTGCATGGTCCACTATTTCCATTGCTTTGCTCTGCCTAATGAGACTGTTTCACACAAGCTCTAGAACACCATGACCCCCTCCAACCCCAACACCACAAGGCTGTTGAAGGCTTCCTGTAAACCACTGGCATTTTTTTATTGCTGTTTTTCATTTTTATGCTTACCTTATTTCCTGTTTTAGGCTGTGTCATGGTTCGCTATGTACCACACGCACAGCAAAAATCAAACTAATAGAGAGACAAAAAGAGATTTTAATGGTATAAATGGTCCAGTCTGAGTTACTCTGTAAATAAATAATGCCCGCAGAGTGTTTGGGAAATGGAAAAAAAATGGGATTTTTAATGTTCTGAATAATCTGTTTTGAATTGCGTTTGTTTCATAATGCTTTAAATGTTTTTTAGTGGGTATAAAGTCTGGGTTGTAAGTACAATAGACCACTTGGACTATCTTTCTGCAACATGCAGAGTGTGATATTTGGATTGTTTTGCTAACACAAGCAGGGCCTATTAAGATAATCTGGTTTAAGTTTTTATACCACTTTGACATGTTGTCCCTTTTTGTATTTGAAAGTAACTTGCAAATGCATTCCTCTCCTTTTTCCCCCTTCCAATCCTAGATAAAATTTGGTAAAACTAATTGACCTCAGAGATCGTTTACTGTAATTGGCTAATAGTCCACCTATGATTATGTCTCAGTAACATTGTCATAGAGGAATTTAACAAGGCTCATGTGAGGCAGTACAGAAATCAGCAGCTCAGGTAGGAAACTTGCAGTAACACTCCAAAATTCCAGTCTCTATGAAAGAGTAATAATAAGCCATTTAGGGATGACGCCAAAGGAAGTTCTGTTTGCAGTTTACTGCGAGCCGTTTGGGACACAGCAAAGACAAGAAATAGGATGCTCTGGTCTAGTAATAAAATTGTTTTTATATAAACTTTAGCCTCTATGCAAAGGGCAATGTGTGGCAAAAAAACTAACCACAGATCATCCTGAACATCTGAGCTACAATGTTAAACAGGATGGTGGCGATATCAAGCAGTGGGAAAAGTATTCCTAATCAAAGACACAGAAGTATATTAACTTTTATTTAAAGACAGATGGCACTAAATATAAGGCAAAATAAAAATCTGTTAGAGGTTGGGAGAATTGAGACATCATTACCACAAATGAAATGAGACGGTGAAAGCAGCATCTTGTGTCCAAAAAAAAATCGATGATGGGAATTTAAAGATGAATGGAGTTGAATAAAAGGCATTTCTGGAGAAAAAGGGGCTATGCCTGAAAGAAACTTTCAACCGAGTTAAAGGTTCATCTTTTATCAGGACAACAACCCCTAACATTCAGCTATTGCTGCAACAATTAAGGTTTAGATCGGTGCTGTTGTTAGAATGGTCTAGTCAAAGTCCAGATCTATATTAAACTAAAATTATGAGGCAGCACTTAAACACTGGGAGTCCCTATTCAGTCTGAATTGTTCCGAGGTATTTGCACTGACATACAGACAGATATCTCCGTCTATACGGGTCCAAAATAGGTAGAGACAAAACCAAGTGGACTTTCTACTGTTATTACAATTGTGCTTACAGTTCCTATAACAAAAACACGACAAAGGAGGGTAAAATACAAACAGATAACTAAATATTTTTCTATTTTCAGAAACAAATTAAACACTATTATGTTCCTTTTACCTCTGCAGTTCTTAACTAGTGTGTTTAGGTTATTACATAAAACCCTATAAAGCACACAAAAAATGTTGTTTAAATTAAACAAAATGTAAAAAAGAGAAATATAAAGTGTATGAAAGTCTTAGCATTTCACTGTATACTTTACAGCATCAACGAACATTGATGTGAAAGTCACCAAAGTTTTAGATCGACAAATATGAATGCAGTCATATATTAGGGCTGAGCAGAATATAGAGATTTTAAAACTATTTTTTTGTTGTTGTTTTTTTTTTTTAAATAAGAATAAGCTTGGAGATTACCTTTTTCTCATTTCAATAACACTTGCAGGTAACCAAGAAGGTTAGTTTTAAGCTGTTTTCTCCCTTTTTTGTTTAAAAATGTGTTTTTGTCACATTTAAGACAAAGCTTTGATTCAGAAGTACCTCTTTAAAATTGCTTTTGAAAGAAAACAAAACATGATGTTTGTCAGATATCGACATTCAGTTTTAAAAAAAATGAGATATTATCTTAGGATCTGGGCTTGATTGGCATAAGAGGGTTGATAATATCAATCCAACTTAGATCAACAAGAGCAGAAATAAATAATGTTACATGTTTGTAGCTTTGGGCTTAAAAATGGCCGATCATTTAAAGACTACATGTGAAAAAGTCCATTATGAAAAAAATACTAAATCCAGCATAAACCTCTCATTAATTTTGAATAAAAATTGCCTAAAAGAAGCTGTGAAATCAAAGCATTATTGGTCATTTATCTCCTAAATCACTTTACACTGGGAAAATAACCTGTTGGATCTCTTGCTCTGTCTTTTTAGGATGACAGTATCATCTTTCACCCTATTTCAATCTTTGAATCTCAGTACTTATTAGTAAATGATGAACAATAAAACAAAAGTTAATTGCATCCAAAATATTTCAATTACATGAAACACATAATTTGTAAAAATCTAATCTCCACTTTGATTTATGATTCAGAACTATCTTAAGAAAATAGCTGACCAAATAAAGTTTCTTTTTAGAAAATGTCCCCAAAATAAATTAAAATAATCACAGACTATATTTTATTGATTATATCATGGATAAGAAAAAGTGTGTGTTTAAATATTTCTTGCGACGAGTTTCAGCTCTGCAGCAGGTGGGAAAGGATTAAGAACATATGGAAGAAAATTAGAAAACTGAGCTGCTGGAAAATTTCCGCTTTCAGCTTCGCTTCTCTTAACTCGTGTCAGTGAAAATCAGGCAGCGAAACAGAATGAAATCCCCTGACACACACCAGTAGCCAAGGCAACAGAATAGTAAATTTCAGATACAGTACATTAGGACTAAACAAGAAGCACATTTTTTTCTGCAGGTAAGGTTTGAAAAAGCTTTACTTGTAGTGCTGCTAAATTGAAAAAAAAAAATACTAATTTGAATTGTACTTTCTAACTTTATGGTAAACTAACCTTTTAAACAATAGTTAATGGAAACTAAATATGTCTATTTTGAGTGGTAACATACATATATTGTTTATTTTATATAACAGAATTAAACTTAATGGTTTATAAAAATGTTTTTCTGTTTTTTTAAAGTGAACACTTTAAAAAAAGATGTTATCTAAAAAATAAAATTAAAAAATCTTATGGATTTTGTGCTGCTGATTTAAGAACATAATCTCATAGAATGTTTGTCTTATAAATATATTATATATATATATATATATATATATATATATATATAGAAACACAGAGAGAGATCTCACAACAGAGAGAAAAAAAAGGTATATATATATATATATATATAGTATATATATAGACATATGTAGATAAACTCAAAGTAAAAAGTGCATCTCTCTTCAAGTGGAACGGATTTGCATATAGAAAATATTGAAATATTACCATTACGGTATATCTTGCATTAAGTTTACAAAAACAAAAATGTTACACTTTTAGTGTTCATTAAATAGAAACAAAGCCATATTGGAGGCAAAACCCATGAAAAAGACAATCCTCCCCCTTTCTACTACCATGGGATTTAAAAACAAAAGAAACAGCCGGGTTCTGCTAATTAGATGCACTGATTAACTGGTCATCAGCAAGCATGACCGACACTACTATAGGAGCTTGATGGTTTGGAGCATCCAGGTGTGTGACACCACAATGCCATTGTGGAACAGAATCAGCAATGACCTTAAAGAAGGAGCTGTTGCTGCTTATCAATCTAGTAATGGTTAGAGAAATGGTTTCAAAAATTTGTCCCCCTTTGATTCATAAGAAAGTCTTAAAAAATCAGTTTTCACCCCTTAAATCTAATTAAATTATCAACTTTAGTGATGATATTTTTTTATTGACTTACAAAATTCCATGCAATAGAACTGTTCCCTAAAAAGACTATATTCTTAAAAACAAAAAAAAAATTGAAAACACAACATAGTTTTGATAGATATTTCTCTGCATACATAGCAAGGTTTTGGGAAAAATATTAACAAAGATATGTTTTGCGATAAATTTCAACGCTGTGTATTTCTAGGAAAACTTTAGAAACTGTAAGCACGGTGGTGGATAGGTCATGATGTGGGCTTCTATTGCAACCCAACCAAATGACCCCTTTCAATGAACAAGTTAACTACCCCATATACCAAAGTTATTTTAGATTGAGATAATGAAAACTAATTGGCTTTTTAATAATTTAAATTGGTTTATTTTCACAAACTGTGATATGGAAAGATTGACCAGGCAGAAATTAACCTTTTTCGACCATCCTCAAAACCCTTTTTGCAGGTCTAATCAAAAAACATTTTTTTTTTTTTTTTTTGCGTTCAAGTTTTAAGGTGTATAAGTTTCCATAAAATCAGTCTCAGAATATGTCCTAAAGTGGTAATGACATATTTCCATAATGTGTGAATCAACTTTTCAGAGTAGGTGAGATGTGTAATAATCCAGAATGGGTGTTGTCCGCCTCAAACACCCTCCTCTCCTCCGTTAGGTCTCGCTTTGCGTCTGCTGTAACAGACCACAGACTGGACTTTATTTCTGAAAAAATACAAAAAGGAAAACCTACCTCTGAAAAGGTTTAACTTCAACTTTCTCAGTTCCTGAACAGGGTCCACTTCATCCAGCTCCACTTTCCCACTTTATAACGCCCCTAACTTGCGCGTCAACGTAAAAAAAAAAAGACAATTGCTAATAAAACGATGCTTCCGTGTTTCTGAGCCGGTTTAAGTGAAAGCAGCGAACAAAAGCATGCGTTTAAACGTACTTTAACGTCTCTGCTTTGGCTCGGTCCCCGTCTCATGAAGCGTTTTTATCATTTAGTAGAGGATGTGGCACACACAGAGCTCGGTTTCCATCCGACTCCACCAAATCTCCGCAAAAGGGGGGAGGGTTTATTTATTTATTTATTTTTGTTTTAATGGCGGGAAAAACTCTGCGGTTAAAGTGGTGTTTATATGTCAAAACACAAAAAAAGTGTGGCACAACACGAAAATGGTTAAAACACACGTTATAACGCGACTGATTTGAGTTAGATTTAGAGTTTGCTGATGTTGCCCCCCCACACTCTGAATGGATCCACCCAAACTCGCTGCTTCCACAGCACCAGAAACGCGCACTGTGGAAAAATATCTCTCAGAACTATTATTAGTGCAATATCTTAAATAAACTATACTCCTTTCAAGGCAAAATCATGACAGTTGCGGGAAAATCGCAATTGTGCACCAATGCGTATTATTACACAGGAACAAAATAATAAAAACTACCATTATAAGGAAAAGAGGCGACAACAGCTGCAGGGGAAAACATTTAATTTGACCTAAAGCATTGTAATTTCAATGTCGTTGGATGAATATTTCATTATTTTATGTCTAAAGCTGCAATCAAGGTGTTCAAAACCACTTTCCTGTTTTTTTAGATCACGTACTCAAAATACTAATACATTTATTTGAAACACATAGAGTTTAGCGTTTTACTTTTATGCAATTAAGACAATAAACTTTATATGTTTGAAGTCATTTTTAATAAGATATAAAAACCTGATGATTATGTATTCTAAATAAATGAGCTTTTTTTATAAAAAAAATTAATCTGTCCAAACATGCCAATGGGAAGTTTAGTGGAAGGAAATATTCTGGTTGAAAAAAAAATACTTAAAAAAATAAGGATAACTGTAGCCTTTTTAAATTTGGAGGCAAATTTTTTGCCAAGTTTAGAAAGATTGCAGCTGGAATCAGAGCTGCAAGAGCCTCCCTGCACAGATGTTTCAAGGACATTATGTCATGTTTCTGTTTATAAACCATTCCTAAAGACAGCATTAGAGATACATAAAATTAAAGTCAGTTAACTGTTTTTCATTTTTTTCAAACCCCAGATACATAGAGTCAGTGTGTGTCAATGTCATGGACAAATTCAGAGAACCTGATGCTTCCCTTTGCTGCTAATCTTTATCAAAATGCAGTCAAAGGTAGAAATATCTGCTTAAATACCATGGTCACACTGGGTTTGATTAGTCAGCAAACTGTTGTAACCTTATTTTCATGGAGTATATGTAGAGTATTCTTAAGAGGAAGATGAGGGATGCCAAGACAAATAATGCAGATGACCTAAATGCCATATATATGTATATATGTATATATATATATATATATATATATATATATATATATATATATATATATATATATATATATACACTTAAGGTCAAAATCCACATTTACACCCTTGTACATCAGCACTCAGTGCCACAGCCCGACACCACAGTCCCTCCACCCGCTCCCCCCACCTCAACACCACAGTGACATTCACCTCCCCTCCTCATCACAGTACATGTTGAAAAACATCAGTTTGAGCCTTTTTTTTAAACAGACTCATGCTTCAGCTCTTTTTGGAGTTTATTCCAGACCTTCACACCACTGACTGAAATTCACATTCTATTCATTGTGGTTCAAACCCTCAGGGTTCTGAAGTTAAGGTTTTCCCTGTAGTCATAGTCCCCCACTCTATCAGAAAACAGCTTTTGAATATTTTCTGGTAGATGTTTATTTATAGCTTTATACATAAACTCAGCTGTTTTGAATTCTACCAAATCTGGGAGTTTTTCTCTACAATGCTTTTTAAAAATATTCACAGAAATTCTTTCTGGAAGTTCATCCTTCTATTTGTAATGTAGCAATAAAGTGTTTGCTTTTCACTTTTTAAAATTTTAATAAAAAGTTAATAAAATGTTAAAAATACAGTGTAAGATTTATTTTAGATATTTAAAAAAATTAAATTACCTTTTCAGATCTATTCTAATTTATAAGGATATACCTGTAAGCCTTCTGTTTGGGCTTTTCCCTTTAATGTCCATCAGAAACTTCTCTTGTGACACTGCAGGTAGGATGGTGTGTATGTCAGCATTGCAGTGGGAGAATAAATAATTAACCATGAGCGTATGCATGTGTGTGTACGCACAACCTGCTGAAGCCTGACACCTGTTTCTGTAAACACATGGCATGTTTATCTAGACCTGAGAGTGAGTACAATACAGCTGGAAAAGGGGATCAGGGACAGCAGTATAGAGCTCTGAAGTTGCTTTTGTTGCTGCATCCAGTTTGAAATTTGATATCGACAGTCTGACGTTGCTAAAATAACTTGAATATTCTCTTTTATTGAGAAAAAACAAAGAAATTCTTTTCATCCATGATATACTGCTGGTTGAAATGCTAAATAGAATCCGCAGTATTTTTTGTTGCCTAGCCATTCTAAGATAGTTATGAGGTTATTTTAAAACAATCAACAGAAATAAAAAAGATTATTAAAAAAATGAACAAATGTGTTTCTTTAAAGAAAAAAGTAGGAATAAGACAGTATGGCTTATAGTGATGTAGAATTATATCTTAACAGCATCAAAAAATATCCCTGGACAGATGAAACCAAGAAAAACCTATTTGTCCAAAATCCTCAGAGCCATATTTGGCGCCAAATCAAACAGAAAATGTGCTCAAAACACTTCAGATCAACCCCATGTTGCTGGAGGTTTAGTGATTTGGGCTTGTTCTGCAGCCACCTGTTCACCATGCATTCATCTATCAGTAAACAGAAGCTTGGCAACCATTAAATCATGAAAGCAATAAAAAAAAAAAGCAATGTTGCATCTAGAGTGGGTAAAAAGTTCTTCAAAATTGTTCTTTAGGGATGCTCTGTTTTTGTTTAATTTCTTTCTGTGTATTATAGGTGCATTTTAAGCTAGACGACTCAGCAAAAGTTGTTTCATAATGAAAATAAAGATATTTTATCCTTGAATATAACAAACACTAAAAGTCACGCAGGAAATATTTAACTGGAGGTGTAGCTACTAAAAAATGTTTAACCTTGGGATTTATGTAGTTTTCACTCAGATATTTACGTTTGTATATTTGTTTTAATTCTGTATGACTGAAATTGAGAGTAAATATAATACTTTATAAATTATACAGTAAATAACTGCCAAGATCAATAATGTTTGGCCAATTGTTTAATATTAAAGGTTTAATATCGACAACGTTACTATCAACTTAATTTTATAGTGAAATCAAAAGTATATTTAAAAACAAGCAGGACAGAAAAGCACCCCAAATTACTTTGAATTCATGATAAATTCATTATAAAATACCCCTACAGGGACTGCAGGTCAGTAGGGATATGACCATCCACTAGAGGGCGCTGGCTGCGCTATATTGTGCCTTTAGAAAATCTTAGCAATGAAGTCCTCCTGTCCCTCAGTGAGGTCTAGAAGCACAAGATCTATATCCAGCCATTCAGCAAATATACTGCTACATGACTGCACATCTTATTTTGGCATTTGACCAATTAATGATATATTACCTACTTTAAATTAAGTTGGAAAAAAGAATAACAAGTCAAGAAAAATAAGGTACAAAGTAAAGCTAAAGGGTTAATATGCCTCTAGGGTTATGTTGTACCTCAAAAAAAGTGTTTCTTTCACTCTCAGAGTGTTTTTTTTTTTATGAATTTCTTTTGTTATTTTTCTTAATATATTCGGGCAAGTTGGTGTTTCTTGTTATTACATTGCCATTCATTTTTGCTATCAAAATATCCATAGTTTTTGAATGTTACAAAAATAATAATGTCTCATTCTGGATTCCAATAACACACTATAAAATGATCTAAAAATTTGTGAAAATGTCTTAAAATAAGTGTATTTACCCTTAGTTTGAGTAGGTAAATAAGTAAATCTCCCAGTGGAAGAAGCATTTTTATCCTTAAAATTATATTATATTATATTATGCACTTGAAATAGGAGAGTGCACTTTTTTTCCTTATTTTAAATGTAAATTTTCTTATTGCATTTGCAAAGTGTCTCATTTACCCGCTCAATTCAAGAAAAAATGCACTTATTTTAAGAGAAAATGACTTAATTTAGATACTTAAAGTCTTTCATGGAGTGCCCTATAAAGGGTTACGGTAGGTCATTTCTGAGGCTCATCTGATAGGTGGGTTTGATAGGACAAGGCAGGGCTGGTTATATGCGGTAGGGATGACTGTGGGCAAAATCCGACTCTAGCCAATAATTAAAGAGTTTACCTTGTTAGGATGCAGTGGTGCCATGTTGTGTCATCATTTTTTATTGATCCCTGATGGTTTCTTACATCACATTTTTCACCACACACACAAAGCAAAAAACATTCAAAATATCACATGCATATAATAAATGAGCTTGCAACTCATAAAAAACAGATAGGATAAAATAGAATATTGGATAAAAATAGACTTGAATAAGCAACTGGTTTACATATGTATGTACATGTATATAAATAATTCAAATTGGTTGTGATTTTTTTTAGGACATTTACAGCTACAACAATTTACACCTCATTGGGTTATGTACAACAAATCAGATCTTCCATTTTTATTATTGGTGATATCATTATTAGCTGCTGCAGCAATCTACATATAATACTGTAAAATAGAGTATTTTTTCAAATGTGGTTATTTTTTTAGCTAGATTTTATCAACATTTTTACACAAGAAAGAGATACACAAATTAGCTTCACTTCTGCTTGTTAGAATCTTTCTTCACATCTTTGAACGCCTCTGTGACCCTTTGTCCTTCCTTCAGTACACAAAGTACATTTACTCTTCCGCTCCATTTGCAACAAGGCCTTGGTAAGTTATTGATTTGGCTTTCTTTACATTAAACAGAGTAAGGTGTATTACTCCCATTTATGGCTGTCAATTGGTAACTGAGGATTCTACTATATTAACTATTTAATTTGACAGTGTTGTGAAAAACTTCCTTTAAATGACTGAGAGATTTGCACACATAACAAAAAAATCTGATATGCATACAGTTCTATACCTAAAT